GTGCTGGCAGGCTTGCACCTGGCACGGGCACTGTAGCCAGCCCGTGCCCCTTTAAGGGGTCCGGGGCCAGGAGGGGGGCATAGAGTTTCCCTGGTGTTGGCCACTAAGTTAGTTCGAATTAGCGCTGTAGTGTAGACATACACTCAGAGATTTACCTCCCCACCCCGGGCTACTTCCTACCTGACTCATGGCCAACAGCTTCTTCTCCAGTTTCTTCCAGGCTGAGAGCTTCTCTGGGTATTCCCTGCTGACCGGCCTCCACGGATCAGTCCCTCCATAGCTCTTCCTGCAGCACTCTGGCAGCAGCGCCTTCCTCCACAGTGGTCAGCCCTGATGGAGCAGTTCCACTGGCCTTTATACTTGTCCTCAGCTGGAGTATGCCCAGCAGGGCTGTGGAGTGAGACTCTCTCGCCCAGGGAGCAAAGGAAACCTGAAGGTGCTTTCTGTCTAGCAGAGGCATCCCACCCCCACCAATCCTGCAAGCCAGTTTGGGAAGTGAGGTTGTTTTTCAGGGGAAGGAAAGGGAGGGAGAGTGACTTCTGGCAAACAGGAAACCCATATCTAGGAAAAATCACCCTGGACTTTGAGAACAATAGTTAGAGATTCATTTTATTCTGCAGAGTGATACAAAAGAAAACCTCCTTCTCCACTCTGCACCTTGCTCACATACCTTCCTCTACACGCGCTCACAGCCACTCTTCCACAGACCCTCACTGCCTTCTTCACAGATCCTCAGAACAGTGCAGAAATCCTGTGGAATCCTTGCTACAATAGTGAAAGGAGTCCTAGGAATGGTACAGGACTATTCCTAGACAGAAACGGTAGAATTGTCAGCAATACAGAAATGGAAGATGTGTTCTATGATCATTTCTGTTCTGTATTTCCGGGGCTGGAGGGAACAGCAGGGTGCTATATTCATATTGTGTGATGAAGACGATAGATTCTCTTTCTAATAGGAACTCAAAAGGATATTCGACAGTAGGTACAGAAGTTAGACATCTTTAAATTAGCTGGTCCAGGAATTTAAATGAGATGGTTGAAGATGTGTGGGCTATTAATGTTGAATTTAAATAAGCCTTAGAACCATGAAAAAGTTTCAGAGGACTGGAAGAAATCCTAATGTTAAGCCAATAATTTAAAAAAGTAAATGGAATGATTTGGACATTCTAGGCCTGCCAGTCTGCCATTCATCCCAGCTAAATTAATGGAGCAGCAGAGATGAGACTCAATTAGTGAAGAATTAAATGTAATATAATGAATATTAATCAACATGGGTTTATGTGAAATCAATCTTGCCATATTCACTTGATATTTGTTAAGATTACTAGTGTGGCTGATAAAGGTATAGGTAGATGTATTATACTTTACTGTCTATGAAGCATTTGAGTTGGTACTGCCGGATATTTTGATTAAGAAACTAGACCAATTCAAAATCAACACAGCACAATAAATGGATTAAAAACTGGCTAATGGCTAGGTCTCAGAACATAACTGTTAATGAGAAATCACCACTGGATGGGGGCATTGCTTGTCAAACCCATAGGTGTTGGTGCTTGGGCCTACACTATTTCACATTTTTATCAGTGAACAATTTAGCAAGGATTGTGGCAGATTTTGCGTCACTGGAAATTTTAAAATCAAGATTGGATATTTCTCTAAAAGGTCTGCGCTAGTTCAAAGAGGAATTTAATTCGGGGAAGTGCTGTTACCGGTTAGACAAGCAGTCAAACTAGATGGTCACAAAAGTCCCTTCCAATAATCTATGCAGGGAACCATTCCCTGGATCTTGTTCCCATCCACTTTCACTGTGCTTAGGGTCTTGGATGGGTATACACTTGGGGCTGCTAGCCCTTCCCCTTGCTCTCACTGCTGTGTTAAAACAAAAAAAGCAGTCATGTAGCACTTTAAAGACTAACTTTTTTAAAGCCCTTTTTTTGTTTTACCAAGATCAGACTAACACGGCTACCTCTCTGTTACAGGGAACTTAGCACAGCATGATGAAAAGTAAGCTGTGTGGCCACAGAGCTGGCTATTGAAGGCTGCACAAGCAGGGAGAGGTGCCTCTCCCCTGGCCCACCCCAGCCCCGCTAGAGCTGCCATGGCCATGAAGAGGTACCTTCCCTTGGCCCAGCTTTGCTTGAGCTATTGTAGCCATGGAGAGACACCCCTCCCTTGGCCTGGCCCAACCCACCCCCAGCCACAGCCCTGGCCTTCCCCCTCTCCAACCCTCTGCCCCCATCCCTGAGCTCCCTCCTATACACCAAATCCTCCATCCCCGGCCCCACCCCTGAGCCTTCACCCCCAACCAGAACCCTCATGCTCTGTACCTCAGCCCTCTGCCCCAGCCCTGAGCCCACTCCCACACTTCAAACCCGAGCCCCACCCCCAACACACTGTACCATCCAGATGCGGGATAAATGTTGCTATGTTCACCAATATGGACGTGCTGTGTCATGCCTCATCTCCAAATTGGTGCACAGAACAAAATGCATTTCTCAGAGGAACTTAAAAAACTAGAAGGAACCCTGCCCCTGTCTGCATTATAATTTTAACTAGCATTAGTATGTCTCCTTAAACTGGAAATCACATCTTAGCTTGAAGAGCATGTGTAGCATGTAAGAAGTGGAGCTCTGCACTGGAGTGTGATTCAGTCTGGTCCCTTGCAATCTTTCTTATGGGGCTGCAGAACTCCAGCAGTGGTTCTCAAACTTTTTGGTCAGTGGCCCACCTGGCTCAATGCAAACCTTTCCATGGGCCACCAGTTACTCATGGAAACTCGCTATTAATTACATAATTACACCGTAGCCATTTTGCTAGTGGTGAAGCACAAGAGAATGGTTTAATTTAACCAGCAAGAAAGGAAACATTAAATTATTAAACAGATTGGGTGCATCTAGACTGGCAAGATTTTGCGCAAAAGCAAATGCTTTTGTGCAAAAACTTGCCAGCTGTCTGCACTGGCCGTTTGAATTTGCACAAGAACACTGACTTTGTAATGTACAAAATCAGTGCTTCTTGCGCAAATACTTTCACGCTCCCACTTGGAAAAGAGCCCTCTTGCGCAAGAATACTTGCGCAAGAGGGCCAGTGTAGACAGGGAAGAACTGTTTTGCGCAAAGAAGCCCCGATGGCTAAAATGGCGATCGGGGCTTTCTTGTGCAAAATCGCATCTAGACTGGCCACAGATGCTTTTGCGCAAAAGCATTTTTTGCGCAAAGGCATCCATGCCAATCTAGATGCTCTTTTGCGGAAATACTTTTAGCAGAAAAACTTTTCCGTTAAAAGCATTTCTGCAAAATCATGCCAGTCTGGACACAGCCATTAAGTGTTTTAATTTTCTCATGTTCGTTTATCAAACTTCATTTTAAATAAAGTAAAATATTAATTTATGTCCAACATGAATGGTTTTAATGTATTCTTTTATTTGGGGGCAGTGGTGGGGAATTGTTTTGGAATAGGGGGCCACTGACCCACAGAAAAATCAGTTGGGGACCACAAAGGTGAAAAGCAAAAAAAAAAAAAACCTCTCCAAAAACTCCCAACCCTCACTGATGTGGCCCCCAACTGAGACCCCTCACTCCTCTGGCATTCCAACCCCATGGGGGGAGAGGGAGGGACAGGGAGGACTGAAGTTCAGGGCTTCCCATGGGCCAGATTTACTTTTCTGGGGTTTCAGGATTAGTGGATTTTGTAGACCCCTCACCCAAGGCTCTGGGGTGGGGAGAAAAACCAGGGGTGCAATGTGTGGGACAAGGCTGCCAGTGGGTGCAATAGGAATGGGGGTGCAGGATCTGGGAGAGAGGAAACCTGTACCATTCCTGGGGATGCAGGATCCAGGATGCAGATGGGGGTGAGGATTAAAGGTTTGGGTGGGAGGTGGGGTGCAGGAGCAGGCTGGGAGTAGGGTATCTGGCCAGAGGTAAGGGGGCAAGAGCAAGGGAAGGTGCAGTGTGGGGCCAGGAGGGAGGGTGTTCCCTCTGGACGGCCCATGCTGCATGGGGAGTGCGGGGCTCAAACGGCCACTTGTGCCGCTTTCTCCCCCACGGCAGCCTGGCTGAGTGGCGCAGAAGTCAGCCGAGTGCCACAGTGGGAGGCAAAGAGGGGCGGGGCAGTGACGTGTGGCGTGACAGTGGCTCCAGGCCCTGCCCCCTGGCTGTGAATGTCACCGCCTCGCCCCT